TTAGATTTGTCTCAGTGTAGAAATGTTCACGTTTTGACTCTTTAGATTTGTCTCAGTGTAGAAATGTTCACGTTTTGACTCTTTAGATTTGTCTCAGTGTAGAAATGTTCACGTTTTGACTCTTTAGATTTGTCTCAGTGTAGAAATGTTCACGTTTTGACTCTTTAGATTTGTCTCAGTGTAGAAATGTTCACGTTTTGACTCTTTAGATTTGTCTCAGTGTAGAAATGTTCACGTTTTGACTCTTTGGATTTGTCTCAGTGTAGAAATGTTCGCGTTTTGACTCTTTGATTTGTCTCAGTGTAGAATGTTCGCGTTTTGACTCTTTGGATTTGTCTCAGTGTAGAAATGTTCGCGTTTTGTCTCTTTGATTTGTCTCAGTGTAGAATGTTCGCGTTTTGACTCTTTAGATTTGTCTCAGTGTAGAAATGTTCGCGTTTTTGACTCTTTAGATTTTTCGCAGTGTAGCAATGTTCACGTTGGGAATGATTCTAAAACTATACATTGTATATATCTATATAAAATATAATTAATAAGTACTCATGGGTGGATATGTTCGCTCTGATTGACTCAATGTGATAAAATAAGTGCATTTCCACACCGCGAAGAGTTGGACTGTTAAAGTATTGTAGCCCAACCTGCTCCAATAACAGACAGTACCAGCTTTGCATAAAATGCTCCGAGAACTCTAACAGACAAATATAGCATTAATGATTATCGATCAGTTATTTAATTATATTTACATTTGCATGACATTGTCACTATATAGCCTCTTTGAAAGCTGTGTCGTTGATGGGATTTTAATTACCATGCATCACGAGACATAATTCTTAGCGTATTAATACAAAACTGACCGGAACTACAATATCCAATATAAATAAACATGACGGCTGCTGAAATATCGCTGGGCATTGTGAGATTTGACAATGTCATTGTAAATTTATGTGCGAAAAAAAATAAAATAAAAAACACTTTTGTTACAACGAAAACAAGACCAAGGTCTGCAATATCGTACAAAATGGACATCGGTTGAAATCACCAATGCTGGGAATGGAAACAATTTTAACGCTCATGCAATTTATCAGAAATATCGTCTGTTACACTGCACTGATCAACAGGGGTTCGTTACAAATGTCTGAAATACACATATTCTATAGACCTACTGACACATATGATACAGACCTACCGATATGAGTCACAGCACACATACACATTTCAGACATTTGTAACGAACCTGTGCTCCGTCGCAAGATCACTCACGCTATCAGTTTCACGCGTCTCGCATCCACTGTTTCCTCAGTTTCTGACGACATGTCAAAAAACGAGTCTGTTATAGAATCTACCGACTGTTGTCAGGTCCCCATATAATCAACAAATAAATTCACGCATGGTTTCTTCACAAAATGAGCAAAGAGAAAAGTTCGAAATAACTTCCAAAAATAACTCCATCGTGGAGGGCAAGGTCGGATTTACGGTGTTCACTGTATTTATTAATGCTCGAAATTTGTTCCGGGGGAAAATTGAAACAATTTCAAATCTAAATTTCAGCTCAGAGTTCTATTGCTAAACTTAAATCACCCTATAGACATATCATACGCAATTGTATTGATACTGAATTGTGGGCGCATTATGTTCTTTGCTTGCAAAGTTGTGTCATTCAAATCGATCATACATACCATACAAAATCAGTTCAATGCTTAAGTAATAGCAAACTGAACACCACATCATGTCGATTATGTGTTAAATGTCACTTGTCATGATATATGGCTGTCTGAAATATCTTTGTTTTAATATTGAAGTGGAATACTGTTCTGCCTGTGATAGTTAAAACTGTTTGTACGTTGAACCGTGTATTTTTTGTTCGTTTTTGTTTTATTACTTGTTACCGATTGTTGAATTCATATTTAATAACCATGCCTAAATGTACAATCAATATCATAAATTAGGAGACAAGTATTGATTACATCGAGGAAATGATCATAGTAGCACTGTTGTAACAAAATAATTGTCATTGGCAGTCTGGAGCTTATCTAATTTAATTTCCTATACATCCAATATCACAGCCGGATGCATATATATTCATATGATCGATGGAGCCACTCTAAGTGCTAAACAATCTGTTATAAATAGAGATCTGTTAATAGGAGAGGTTCATTTATGTTTCCCGTTTTTTATGATTTATTTAAAGCAGAATGTCTGCTACAATTGCTAATGAAATAAAATGTGATCCATTGTAAATAAAAGATGATACTTTTCCGAAAAACGATATCTGATACAATACGATATCAATACAATGACGAACAACATATACATCCCTACGTCATGGCAAACACATTGACAATAATTAAGTGTCAAAGGCAACGGTGGAAAACAATGCAAAGGGAAATTACATAGTAAAGCATCAATAAGCAAATACATAATACACTAGTGTCAATATAAACTGATAAATATGTGTTGTACCAGAAGCTAAAAAAACACAAGGACAAAATGAAATAAAGCGTCAATACGAAAATTAATGAAATATATATTCAGAAGCGACAATATGAAAGGACAAAATACATTTGTGCCGATGTAGAGGGGTAAAATGTGAATTGTACCAAAGTTAAACCGACAGGGACAAATATAACAGAGTCAATACACAAATGAACGAAAAATATGTGAGTCAATACAAAAATGAACAAACCATATGTGAGTCAATACACAAATAAACAAATCATATGTGAGTCAATACACGAATGATCAAACCATATGTGACTCAATACACAAATAAACAAACCATATATGACTCAATACACATATGAACAAAGCATATGTGAGTCAATACACAAATAAACGAACCATATGTGACTCAATACACAAATGAACAAAACCATATGTGACTCAATACACAAATGAACAAAACCATATGTGAGTCAATTCACTCATGAACAAAACCATATGTGAGTCAATACACAAATAAACAAACCCTTTATACAACAGCGTCAATATGAAGGACAAAATACACTAGTGCCAATATATTTAGGTGTATATGAATTGCACCAGAGCTAAAACGACAAGAAATAAATATTATATAGATTCAATACAATACACAAACGGTACAACAGTGTTGATACTGAAGTACAAGTAAACTAGTGTCAGCATAGAAGGATAGAAATTAAATGTACCAAATACAATACGCAAGGACAAAATATGCAACTGTGTCAATATGCGGGGAAAAAATTTGACACAGCGTTTATGCACATGGACAAAACATACCACAGCATCAACGCTCAGTCCAACCTTTATGCCAATGCGAAAAGACAATAACAAGAAATTTATGAAAGTTTAAAAATGTATTATCAGAATAATAGAAAAAGACCAGTTTCATACATAGTTCAGGCCAATAATAAATAGACGATACAAATATTACTGTCATGCTAAAATTGGACTAAATCATCTAAACGGAATAAATGTTTTGGTTTGTATATAAAAACACGTGAAAAAAAGCAATGCAAAATCTAATTATTCTTGATTTGATAGAAGACACTTTCTATAGCACATATAGAAAACAAATGAGTTCCAGCCAAATACAACATCTTGCGTAAGCACCATATGAAATACAAGTATAATGAGTATAATGTTGAGACAACAATACTTTATTCATGAAATACATGAAATGGAAATATGAAGACCAATTGAATTGATATTTTGGTAAAGCTTTATATTCAATTAACAAAATGATGTTTTCTGTACGTACACAGTAAACACAAACACAATAAATATTGACGGTATTGGTTTTTTCTCTCACGTATGTGGTGTCGTAAGATGATTTCCATTAACCTAATATGCCCTTTTTCGCCTTGAATAAAAGAGAAATGTTTCGTTAATACCGGTATATTTTGGCGAATTGAATTCCTGACTTGGTTAATTCCCTATCTAGAAAAACAAGGTGGCAAAAATATTCGAATCATAGTATGCAGGTTTTATCAACACGTAGTGACTGGATGACATAGCCTATGTGTGCTAATTATTCAGTAACGCAACGGTCAAATTGTTGATATTCAGCTTTAGAACAACCTGTTGCAACGTGGTAACGGTCCCTCTACAATACATTGTTCATCACTAACTTGACTGCATCAAAAGGCACTAACAGTTAGCAATAATGTTAGCTTATATACATTTTACATACATAATACCATTTAGAGCTTCATATCCAAACTAAAGTGTTGCTGTAAATATGCTTATTTTAGCGTACTAAAATTAAGCGTATTTTCTAGATTTAACAATTCGGCGCATTCAGGAATCGGCGCGTCCACAATGCATTCAATATAGAATATTCTAAAACTTCCATTAGCGCAGTTATAAAAGTGTTGCAATGAAAAAAGCGAAAAATATGTTTATTTAATGTATCAAAATGCAAATAAAAAGCATAAACTACTATTGATGTATCAACTCATTCACTATTTGCCAATACTAGAATCTATTCGACATGTGTTCCACCATTCATCCAAATAGTAGCTCATTCGTGTACTTGTTATAAAGTTATACCCCATTACAATGCGTTCGGATCTCAATCGTTCAATGCGTAGTAATGCGTGACCTACCAATCAATAATAAACAATAATTACTGTATATTGGGGAATTTTCCTCTTGACAAATATTCGCATCAAGTGACTCAGATAAAAACTATTTCAGCCAGGTATTTATTTAATTTTTGAAAATTTCCTGGTATTCATTATGTAAAATATGTTAGCCCTCACAAGTGCATTCTTGTTTTTGCTAGTGAAAGGATAAACAGATTATCTTACCCTGGACAGGAGTATCCGCACTTTTACCGGTGTGAGATTAATAGAATCCATCCCTGATGTGAGGTATGGATATGGTCATTCAAACCCAAGGGATAAAATATTGAGCAGAATACCCGAGGCTTTGACGAGGGTCTTCTACTCAATATTTTATCCCGAGGGTTTGAATGAACTTATCCATACCTCACATCAGGGATGGAATCTATTTCTTGCTTATTACCTAAAACCCGTAAAAAAAACTTAAGTCATTCAAGTTTATCTCATTATGTTCAAGAAACCGTCTATTTCATAATAAACATGTTTTGTATTATCAACACAACACAAAATTATTCATAACTATATCTTCCTTTTCATACTGGTTTCATTTTGCGTGACAAAACTAAGAAATAAACAATTGACGAATTCGCTACCTCGTGGTGTGTTATATTCAAATCTATGGTAATAAATAAAATGATATCACTTTTCGGACGACGATTATGATGGCGACAGTAACATGATTATCAAATCCAAATGGTATAATCATAATATTTTCTCTCACAACGATGAACGATGTCTTTACTCCGAACTTATTGGATAAATCGGCCGGGAATTGGTGAACAGTTTGGTAACCTCTAGTGTGTTATGCCCTATGACCGATCTTGTAATCATATGACGTCATGTACAATGTTTACACCGGGGATTTCTATTGTGACGTCATAATTCATTGTAATTGCTTTTTCTATTGGGAACAAGAAGTAGGAATTCCTCAGAGAAAAATATAGTTTTCTAGATATAGTATAAAAGCTTTGGGAGAAAAAGGTCCCTTACTTCGTGATTGCTTTTTATCCTGTCTTATTCTTATTTTTGAATTTTTAAATGGTGTAAAGAAACTTGGTAAACCTTGCGTCTTGATACAATTACAAAATATTAACTGGCAGAAGATAAACCTAAAAAACTTTGTTTTGCAACCTGCTATAGTAACAATGGCTACATCCTCAGCCCATCAATAAGGACAGTAAGATCACAGCCGACGATAACTACCACTACCGTCGCCAACACTACCGTGCCGACGTACCCCATGGCAGCCGATGACACGCGGTTATCTGTTGCACTTATTTTCTTCCTGATTGTGGAGGACAAGGTTGAAACATTCACGGCTAACTGTTGTCTTAATTCAGCTATTAGCTGCTTTGCCTCCTCGTTCGTTAGGTTAAGTCCACCGACTGACCACGTTACTGCATTTTTACACTCACATGAACAGTTTGTGTTTTGATTCGTAGAGTTATAAAGGGTTGTTGTGTTAATCGCAGTTGTTGAACTTTCTATTGTAGAGGTGGTGCTAAAACCTGGCACATTTTCTGTTGTGCTAGAGGTATCGACAGTAAGTACATTTCTGGTCGTTGTTTCGACAACTGGTTCGTTTCCCGTTGTAGTAATTGTGTCGACAGCTGGCAAACTGTCGGTTGTAGTCGTGATTTCGACAACTGGTAAAGTTTCTGTTGTAGTGGTATCGGTGACAAATAGTAAATTGTCTGATGTTGTGGTATCGGTGACAACTGGTAAATTTTCTGATGTTGTGGTATCGGTGACAACTGGTAAATTTTCAGTCGTTGTTATGTCGTAGTGTGGTACAGTGTCTGTTGTGGTAGTTGGTGCGTCAACAGGAGCATTTGGGTCGATCTCTGTTTGTAAAACCAAGAGTAAACTCTATATTAAGTTTGTAAGAGTTTGTAACATATGACATATTTACACTGCATGTTCTATTCCATTACATTCGAGGATCTTATTAAAAGTTCCTGTATTGATAAATAAATGATCATCATTTCCATTTTAATTGAAGATACATATAAACGTTATCATCATTTTCTTCCTTAATACGTACGAATAATAAAAGTATTATCAATGGAAACGTATCGCAATGATATAGGTCCCGTTTTTAACGGGAGTACTTTTTTAAAATGCTATGAAAGTCACAATTAAACAGTAATTGAAACTTTAAAAGCAGAATGTATAATATCCAATTTTATTCTTGGCATTTTCAATAAAAACTTCCAAGATGGTGATGTTACGAAACGTTTCCTTCGTTAAATACTAATAATTAATTGACAAAAAGCCATGTCAACGCATGAATTATTTCCAACAAAAAATAAACAAACATTGCTGAAATAGTCTAGGAACCTTCGCATCATGGGAACAAAAGTCGACACGAATACACATACATTTAATTTTTAATATTGAAGTCTAGAAACAGTTAACTGATATTTGAAGCATTGTGAAATATCTAACGATGGATAAGATAATGCCGGAAAAGTAATTAGCGCAGTTATAATTTCCAGTGGTTTCCTTTTCTTACACTTGTTATATATGACACGATAATACAAGGATATCTATAAATTGATTCTTTCTTAAATCATTGTATTATATGGGATAGTCTCTGCGAGATATATCTTAAGGGGAGATGCATTGATAATATATCTCCAGTTAGGCTCGAAACCCAATTGGTTCCGCAGGCGGTAAAAATTACAGAAGTATGTTAACGCGAAAAAATTTACAGGAGTATGTCATCAAACAAGTCGAAGGCTCTGGGATCGTGCGGCAGCGTAAAAGTAAAATTGGATAGCTTTGAAGTCTGGTGTCGCTTCTCTGTCATCTTCAGAGGTCAAGTATAAACCTTGTAATTTGAAAGTTTGTTTCCCCTGAAACCAAGCAAATAGCTAATAGCGTACATGCGACTTTGTCTTCACATATTGCCTTTAGAGGATGTTTCTTTTCTATGCTCGAGGGGAGCTGCTATTAAACATAGTTGCATTGTATACACTGCAAACATCATCAATCGAGAGAATGTTAGATATCTGCCAATTAACATGTCAATCATGTTCTGGTTTACCTGACACGACGTCGCCAGGGGTACACTGTGAAACCCCGTTATTGTTTTGATATTCACAGATCCGGAATCGCATGTTAGGACCGGCACAGTTCGAGGTACATGCTTGCCACTCACTCCATCGATAACCTCTTGGATCAGATGGTGGACCTCCTGTACAATAAACAAACTTCACGCATTGATTATACAAATTATATTTATTTTACAATTGTTATGAAACAAGTGAGTTCAACTTATAATAATCACTCTTGTTGACCCGAATGTTACCACGTGGGGGTCTTAGTGTGGGAGGAAACCGGAGTACCCGGAGAAAACCCACGTGGTCGGGCAGGTAACCTCAACCTTTTCACGTCCGATCGGGGAATCAAACCCCGGCCGCCTTGGTGAAAGGCAAGTGCGCTATCCACTGCACCAGACGACAATCTGATCTATACATGGATTGATTGGAACAGTCATGACGCTTTATCAACACATTTATATTATTAGTCATGATATCATGTTTTCAATATTTCTTCTTGATTTTATAATCAATATTACAATATGTCCATATTTCTCAAATTGTAAACAAAGGAAACATTTCAATTTACAAAGGGAGAGAAAAAGAGAATTTGAAAATCTATGAAGTAAAAATATGAAGAAAGGCTAGCTTTAAATGGATATCCATGAAGAAGGTTTTCCTCACTTCGAGCACTAAATAATCCTTCTTGGCTTGTATATGGTAAACAACATTTTGGCAAATATAGCATTGTTCACAAAACCATTAACACAAAAGATTTTTTTAGAAACATATATATTTCTTTAGTACTTTTTATATTATAATTACACAATAATTATCTTGGAACAATTAAGAAAATGTTTAATCCATTTTGACTCTTGGTATCATCAAGTCATTATCTATCATTGCAACGTATTGCTAGTTAGCATGTTATATCAAAATATGATGCATTCTGCCGATGGTAATCGGTCCAAGATTTTGGTTATAAACTTGTTCATGTATATATATTTTGTTTCTTCTATGTCTACTGATCACAGAATAAATTAGGTAGAAAATAGACAACAAACTTATCAATCAACAAACATTTTCGGTCATATCCCCAAATTTTGACGGGAGTAGAGAAAAGCAAATGAAATTGTTTGAACTGATTAAAGTTATGTTGTTGGACAAAATCCTACGTTTATACTATGACAGTTGAGTATTTTGATCCATGAAAACACTGTGATCGCTTTTTTTCTCAGACAATTGAATTAAAAAAGAAATTATTCATAGATTGGGTATAATGGATTACACATGTAAAACAGAACAAGGACGACGTTGGGGAAACATATTTCTCCAATAACCACTATAGGTTTCTGATGTAGTGGTATCGGTGACGGTATCGGTGACAACTTGTAAATTGTCTATTGTAGTGGTATCGTAGACAACTGGTAAATTGTCTGTTGTAGTGGTATCGTAGACAACTGGTAAATTGTCTGTTGTAGTCGTGATGTCTACTATACGATAAAACTGCGAGGAGTTTGTTAACATTTTTGGTTACCCACTAGTGAGTAACATCCTGGAAGTCATTTTATTGGTCATTTTTTTTTACTTATGACGTCACGTAACAATGCTTTGCGACGTCATCTTCCATTGTGACGTCAATTGTTTACCCCCATCGGAAGCCTACATAGTGTTTTACCAAGGGAAACATATGGCTTTCCTGATAAAATATGAACGTTATGGAAGAGAAAGGATCCCAAGTTAATTTTAATATTATAAAAGACACTCGGTAAACCTCATGTCTTTATGCAATTTGAAAATTAACTAACTCGAGTTAGATAAACATGATAACCAACCATCACTCGTTGTGGAACCTCTATGATCTTAATGAAACCATCTAGAGTAATATTTAGTAATGAAACGAGTTATATTGAAATAGCAAGCATGTTGACCAATTTCAGCATGTTTTGTCGTTTGTTTGCTTCAAAAGCATTCATTAAAGTAATTAGAATTTAACGAAAAGAATTTATAAAATAAAAAAAATGTGAAACGACTACATTGGCTCTACAATTACGTTCTTTTTATGGCAATATGTATTAACTAAAATGGAGTTGAACAAATTATATAGTTCCTTCTCTGTTTCATTGGATTTATAGCTTCAAAGAGGTATGAGTACATGTTAGATTATAATACAAACTAACCTATTGTACTCCTCAAATTGAATTGTATGGACCAATTAGACTTGATCGATTTGTTATGAAACATATAAACAAACAATATTAAATGATCTTTGAGATCCCCACCCTTTTATGCAAATAGTGATTACAAAATTCTGTTTGCCTGAAAGGCAGATAATTGCAATCTATTGACAACCAATACTTTAAGGAGTCACTTCAAATTGAACGGATTGGATGGATTTAATTCATTTTCGAAAAAAAAGTCATTAGAAGAACAAAGAAAAGAATTAACGTAAAATGTTCCACTATATATCCAATTTACAAGGTTCGTGTAACGTCAATAAATGGGGATTGAACGTTCATTAGCAGAGCCGTTCATCTTGTGGCATGAAATAATCATTAGAAATAAGCAGTACATAGGCAATAGTTCATCATGGAAATAGTCAATATAGAAATCCAAAGTTAACATTTGACCGGCACCATATGACCATCGTTTATTCAGAGTTCATTTGTGGTATTAACGTTACACTAATCTAAATAACAACATGTTAAAAAAGGCAATTTCATTTTTCGAATTTGTAACGCGATCTGCTTTAGAACAATAAACTCATTTTTCGTAATCTGCAGTGAAAATTACTCATTTAATCAACACAGGATATCATTGCGCAACTACCTCACAACAGATTCATCTAAACTGAAGTGTTTCTTACCTTGAATCTTCGCCACCATCATTATCCACAAAATAAAATATCCCGTCACTTTTGATAAATCCATTTTTGTGTAACACTGTTAGTTTTTCAAGATATTTGTCAAAAAGTGGTTACGTCTTTAATGGTCTCACAAACACCTGTCATCATTACCAAACAATTTCTGTATGAAACCACATATATCATTATCCAGACCACGAACCTGTTCAAAATAGACTTCCTTTCATTTGAAATCACATTTCCGTACGTCCGCGGTTAATAGTCCAAATATATCTAATAGAATTAACCAAAGGCTGTGAATGTATTAAAGATAGGGCAACTTAATTCATTGTTTCCATGAACAATTGCACGGGCTAATGTTTAGAAAACATGCTACATAGATACTTGTCAGTATCACATCCAATCATTATTCAGGATTACGATTCACACACTTCACTGTAACTTAAATAAACTAAACACGACCTACTGACTGTCTGAAGCTTCTCCGTTGAACTGTGAAATAGTGAGCTACACAGCTTAAACTCAGTGATCCTGGTTTATATCAAACCTATTAACAATTCGTAGTAAGCCATGTTATGACTGCCACGTGTCCAAGAAGGCAAATTACGTTTTGAAGCGAAAATTTTAATATTAATGAGTTAATCCGAGAATTAAAAAGCAGTTAAAATCAGATGAATACATTCTGCACATGCATGTGTTGTCATATCAAATTTGCCGTCATAGGTGAATTCATTCATTTGATAAATAAACACAAATTCATTACTGACCACGCTGGAACATTCAAGTAACACTTTATAGGAGTTTCACACATTTTCCATGAACGTATAAATCAAGTTATATTGTGCAATGAGAATATCAATAGAAGTGACAGTGAATACATTAAGCTTATAATGCATTATCTCTGTTTTGCATATGGCACCAATTCCAGTTAAAAATTACACAAATTACACAAATGACATAATGCATGTCTTACACGCATGACTACTATTAGGAACCAGGTAAAGCAGCGTTACGTGTTGACTGCGAGTACACTTTGTATCAGGAGCTCCATATCCATCCGAATGACGTCAAATAAAACGTGCTGAGAATATGAATGTACAGCTACATATGTACCATAGTGGATCCTCCTATGAAACACGTTTCGGAATAATAAGTTTTAAACTGACACAATACGGGACAGCAATCTGAACTAGTAAATATTCATCAAGTTCGTATGCGCCTGGGGATAACGTCAGGTAAACCGTACGTATTGACTTGTATTATCAACTTGGATTCGGTGGAGTGTATTAAAGGAGTTCTATCGATCTTAGCTGTCTCGGTGTGGGCAATTGTGCGTAGCATTGAACGTGCGATTGCTCTGTCCAAATACGGGAACTGTTTTGAGAATATCTAATGTAAATTTGTAGGTTTACAATCTTGGATCACATTTATGTTTTAACACTGTTGTGTTACGTTAATCTTTCAAAATACAAGGTGGTAGATACTGCAAGCTTAGATTGTTTAGTCTTCGAGGTTTTGACGTAACCTTAATCGCCACAATTATCTCTTTTGTGTAGTGGCATTGTTCATGATGGAATACACACTTTTCTCATTATTTATTTTGGCATAACCAAACCTACTCTATTTTTTTTTTTTAATCATAAGTTGAGGGGTTTTCGTTCCTTACTTTCTGAGTAGTTTAATCCAATTATGATTTACAACGAAATAGCTGTATCATGTAGTGTAATTCAGTTTTGGTATACTGTATCTATTACCAAAGTTTGAAGGTGCAGGTACCTGTGTATTACGGTCATCTGCTATTGACATCCCTTTTTCTTTGCGTTGGGGTTTGTAGTAAAAAAAAAGATTTTTTGCCAGAAACATAATGAACATTTCTTGACCCGTTTTCATGAAAACGTTCTCATCCTAAAGCATGGGTTCTGTGCCCAAACCAACTTTCTTGTTACTGAATTAAATCATTCTTAAAGCCAAATTTAAGACAAAGAGTTTAGGTTTTATTACAAAATCGATGCTTGAGCATGAGAACGATTTCATGGATACGGGCCATGGCCTTGAAAAGTCAGAATGTTTGTAGGTAAAAGTGAAATATTTGTATATTTAGAGAAACCATAAATTAATACAGTAACTGTAATATCACTAGTCACCTGGCGAATAGTTCAAGAACTATGTTTGAGGACATTGTCAATGTATTTTACAGCACTACAGTTGTTCAGAATTTAATAATAAAACAAGGATCGAACACGGAACCGATCCAATGCCGAATTTGCAATTTACCACTGTAATATGACGTTGATTTTTGCTGGCCGAAACCAAATACAACGATCTGTACACAATACGACGGTGGCCTACAACTCTCGAACAACAGCGCAAGAAGTGAACAACAACAACAACAACAACAACAACAACAACAACGACAATCTAGATGACTCCCAACAACAGACCCTAATTGAAAAGATTTACAATATGCTTAATATGCAGAGAGAGTACACACACCAGAATTGGACTTTGTTTTAAAAGCATACCTGTAAATTGTGAAAACAATTTTACATGTAATGTGACAATAGTTGACTTTTTACGTTGTATGATTTGAAGTTGTGCATAGAAAGATTATATTCCCTGAAGCCACAAAGCGCTAAAAGGACAGAATTATATTATGTTCGGCGGACCCCACACATCCTCCACTTGGTGATATTCAACAATAAGGGATATCATATCACAATAATGATATACAGCATTTGATACAGCGCCCTATCTAGCTAACATAAGCCATTCTAAAGCGCTTTACAGTACATAGATATACAATTGATTACACATTAATTAATACAATTTTTGAGGAATTCGCAGGAGCTGCCTTATCAGGCACTAACAACTAGTCCTACGCCACCTGGCTAATATCGTTTTATGTGTGTCTGCCTGCGTGTGTGCTGGAGATGTATTGTGTTCTGGTTGTAGTGGGACCTTACTTCCAACGGCATCATTTATAGTGCCACCGCACTTGAATGCTACAGCACAGATACCGCAATATGCACTCCAGACCAATTTATACTCCACCTGGGTTGTTTGGTTTGTGTGGTCAGGAGAAAAACACTTTCTCTGAATATCCGTGCGTACGACGACTTCGGGGGATCAAACCCAGCCGTCTGCGTGAAAGGCCGGAGTCTTAACCACTCGACCAATCCGCCCATATAGTTTATGCTAAAGCTAAATGCCCTTTATCAATCACAAGTTCATTTAACGTTAAGAGAACTGGTTTATATTTTATTCGATGATTTTCTACGTTACCTTCCTTTATTTATCAATCCAATGAAAGCCATCGTTAGGTTACCCTTATCTTATTTCTTAAATTCATTAGTTATAATTTTAAGTGACCCATTATTTATCATTAATTCAAAGGTTATTAACGATAAGTGGATCTTATCTATTATCAATTAAACAATAATCAGATTCTGAGGGAATGACATATCTGCGACTTAATTATAAGAACCTCTAATTGAATTATTTATCACCAACAGTTCATCAACTATTATTAGACCAGATATAGTATCAACTCATCATTTATTGGCATCAATCGAACATAATAACATTTTCAACGTTTACACTCATCTCTTAACAATTTAACGCTTAATTGACCCATGTATCATGAACGCAATCAAAACACACACACATCTGACATAATCATATCTTTGATCAAAGATAAATGAATTATTTCAACCTCTAATTACTCTAAAATAATATTTTTTCGAGGGTTTCAAATTTCGTAATTTTCAGATGAAAAAATATTGGGTTTATGAATTTGTGGGTCATGAGTACACACTGATAGGGAGGAATAGCTTAATATGAAACATGTAATTACTTCACTGACCTTTGAATTTAGTGGTGAAGAAAAACTCGAAATCAGCGAAAATAAACCCCGCAAATGCCCTTTTTCGCCTTGAATAAAAGAGAAATGTTTCGTTAATACCGGTATTTTGGCGAATTGAATTCCAGACTTGGTTAATTCCCTATCTAGAAAAACAAGGTGGCAAAAATATTCGAATCATAGTATGCAGGTTTTATCAACACATAGTGACTGGATGACATAGCCCATGTGTGCTAATTATTCAGTAACGCAACGGTCAAATTGTTGATATTCAGCTTTAGAACAACCTGTAGCAACGTGGTAACGGTCCCTGTACAATACATTGCTCATCCCTGACTTGACTGCATCAAAAGGCACTAACAGTTAGCAATAATGTTAGCTTATATACATTTTACTTGTCCGAATTATTCTGACGTTTTATCGACTTTTTTCATATCGGTCTGTCGTCGATTAACGTCAGAACTCCGGCCCTCTATAATATGCGGGAAATATGCGACCCGCGCCCGGAGCGCACTTCAAACTGATATTTTAGAAACAAGTCGTCACTTTCACACACATGTCACACTATTTTACATACATAATACCATTTAGCGCTTCGTATCCAAACTAAAATTAAGCGTATTTTCTAGATTTAACAATTCGCCGCATTCAGGAATCGGCGCGTCCACAATGCATTCAATAAAGAATATTCTAAAATTTCCATTAGCGCAGTCATAATTTAGCACAATATTTTTCCACTAAAAGTGTTGCAATGAAAAAAGCGAAAAATATGTTAATTTAATGTATCAAAATGCAAATAAAAAGCATAAACTAATATTGATGTATCAACTCATTCACTATTTGCCAATACTAGAATCTATTCGACATGTGTTCCACCATTCATCCAAGTAGTAGCTCATTCGTGTACTTGTTATAAAGTTATAAGCCATTACAATGACTTCGGATCTCAACCGTTCAATGTGTAGTAATGTGTGAGCTACAAATCAATAATAAACAATAATTACTGTATATTGGGTAATTTTCTTCTTGACAAATATTCGATAAAAACTATTTCAGCCCAGTGTTTATTTCGCTCTTCATATGTCACCGATATTCGTGCTCATTACGGAGGCGAAATTTGCGAAAATTTCCTGGTATTCATTATGTAAAATATTTTATCCCTCACAAGTGCATTCTCGTTTTTGCAGATTATCTTACCCTGGACAGGAGTATCCGCACTTTTACCGGTGTGAGATTAATAGAATCCATCCCTGATGTGAGGTATGATCATTCAAATTCAAGGGATACAATATTGAGCAGAATACCCGAGGCTTTGACGAGGTTCTACTCAATATTTAATCTCGAGGGTTTGAATGAGCTTATCCATACATC